CTAATAACCCACGTGATAGTTTAAAATCTATTTTTATTCAAGGGATGACTTATTAGCATATTTGAAATCCAGTTTATTTATTAAAAAGTATATTTAGAATTATATTAATATAAATATATACATTTACATTCTAGACTGTAATTGAATGACACATTTAAAAAATTTTAAAAGACTTAGAAAAACGTCAAACTTTTTTTTTCAAATTTTTTCAACTTAAAAACTTACAATTTCAAAATATAATTGCAATGTATAAATAAAACATTAGGCAACTGCTTAAGAAAGCCTATATTAGGAAATAAACAGATTTTCCTTCAGTGCCAATCTGTAAAAAAATAAAATAATAATTAAGAATATGTTTATAGGCCTGATTTAATTTATATATCTAGTATCAAGAAACATGCCATTAAAAACATAAGTATGAAATGTGTCTTGTCTATCCTTATGATAAAACAAAAATCTTGCTTATTTTGATTCAGATTTTATGAAAAAATAATATTTTATATTACACAATTTTTATTGTATTGTTATATTGCTGAAAAATATATATATTTTAAGTTATTCCATTATACATATGTCTTTTATTTTATTTTGTCACATAATAAACTTTTACATACATGAACATTTGTCTGTGGTTAAAATGTAAATGATCATTTCTCTAAATGCTAAATTATTAATTATCTCTGTTATTATTATTACTATAGTGAAACAGTGTCCTTACCTGCTGCCAGTGCCATCGCTGCGTCCGTGATACACACAGGTGCACTGGGAAGGACAGAAGGGTTGTGCCACAATCCAGCAGCCCAGTAGAACCTGGGCCACCAGCAGACGATACATCCTTCAGTCAGATGAACCAGCACGGACACACACACTCACACACACACATCAGATCCCACTCGACCATCAGTGGACAAAAACTCCTTTATCAGTCCTCAAGGAAAAGCAAGAAAAGTGCCTCGCAGCCCACATCTTGTTTAGCATGCTAGCAGGTGAGAGCCGAGAAGAGCAGGAGGATTGGGATGGGTGGGGGGGAACCCAGATTAGAAAGAGGATTTCTCAAGGCTGAGTAGGTTACTAAAGTTGAACAGAGTGGGATGGGAAGTGTGTGTGAGTTTATTTGTGTGTATGAGTGCGTTAGTGTGTGTGACTGAGTTCGAGGAGGAGGATAAGCCCTGCAGGCACACGCTAATCGGCTAGAACTACAAGAAGGCTCTTCTCTCAGCATCATCACGTGACCGCTCGCAGACACTCCTTCACCTGGTGTATGAACTGATTTTGGCTGTGAAGTGTTTGCGTGCATGGAGGCTAGATGACACCTGTGTGTAAAATGAAGTACAGGTCATGATTTACTGAGAGCAGACAGGCCAAACTCTTCTGTCTGAGTCTGAGAGATATATAATGGCTTCAGAAAATACTGAGACAAAAACATACTGACAACTGACAGTGTATGAATAAAAGCTGCGTATGGTACATTAGAAAATGAACAGATTTTCCTTTAGTACCAATTTGTCAAAACATGATTAATTGCCACGGGTGTGTTTTTGTAGGCCAGTGTGAGTATCAAGGGAAAACATGCTTAATTAAAAACATCATGAAGTGTGTCCATCCTTATAACAACATCTGGTTTGCATGCATTTGCCTTGTTGCAATAATTTCTGCTCAGTTTTGTGGAATTTAATCGTTTTATTTTTGATATTGTTCATTAGTAAGTAAATAAATTATAAGTGTTCAAAAAGTGCAGTGAATTGCTGGCACCACTGATTTTTCTCGAAGGCAGCAATTCTGCTTCTATTATTATGTTATTATAATTTTTATTATAGCTTATTATTATTTAGTTTTTTTCTTTTTAGTTTTTGTAAAACTTTTTAAACTTTATTTAAACTTTTTTTTTTTTAGTAGGTTGAGATTTCTAAAAATGTTTTTATTTGTGTCTATAACATGACCTTGAAATAACTGCTTATATAAAATAAGACCTTAAAATTATAAGGCCTTTATCAAGTTATATACAGTGGGCTAAGACAAGAGAGATGTCCTTTTGTAGCCTGCCTCCATGTGGTTTGAGTGAAAATAACAGAGCTGTAGAAACAATGCCTTTCAAAAGTTTGGGGTCAGTAAGATTTTTTATTTTTGACATTTTTTTTTTTAATAAATTAAAAAATGTATTTAGCAATGATGCATTAAATGATTTAAAAATGACACTGAAGACTGGATTTATGGCTGCGGAAAATTTAATTTTGCCATCACAGAAACGAGTTACATTTTAAAATAAATACAGAAAACAGTTCTTTTAAAGTGTAATAATATTTCACAATATTACTGTATTTTTCATCAAGTAATTGCAGCCTTGGTGAGCTTCTGAACGTCGGTGTCCTAAATATTTGATATGTTAGGCCTAATAGTTGTAGTACATACCACTGAAACGTTTTTTTTTTTCTGTTACTTTGTTGAACAACCAAGTGAGTTCATGAAAATACACATCTAAAGCTTTAGAGTCATATATAAACACACAGTAATGTGAAACATATCATATACAACCAGTTGAAAATACTGTTTTCAAAATTTGACCTTTACAAATTGCTTTGTGTATCCTCTTTAGTCAGAAGTAAATTCAATTAATTTAGATCTTACCACATAAAAGTAAACCAGCAAAACATTTTCAGAGTGTGTGTGAAGTGCATAACTCCAACATGATACACAGACTGTTAAGAACAACAACAACCGTATTTATTAACAAGTACACCAGTGTAGTTTATTTATGCAAGCAGTTTGTCCCTACAGATCAGAAAAGCCACTGTCAAGCGGTTGGCACATTTATGTACAAAACAAATTAATGGTACAGCTTGCTACTAAGCATTCTTTAGTGAGAGTACAAAAAGACTACTAGTATAGGAGGACAGAGAGAGTGAGCCAGAGTAAGAGAGAGAGAGAGAGAGATGAGGGTTCAGAGAAAGCATTAAGTTAGGGGCTCAACAAGCAATAGTAATATAAAGGTGAGAGGAGGACTCAGAGGAGTTAGAGAGATCACCACAAAGTAAACAGGCACAAATCAAACACTACCATCGAAGAGTAGGAGTTTCAGCGCAATGTAGCCTATTTAGCATAGGATTCAAATTACTGCACATTATGAGGAAGGGGATGACCCAGCAAGACAGTCGCATATAACAAATTCATAAAAAGATTAATTGAAAACTGTTTTTCTTGTTTTTTTTTCTTTTTGATTTTTTCCATTATTATTATTATCATCATTATTATTTTTTGATCCAGTTAAAAACGATTACCATTGAATGCATGACCATGCCACAAATAACACTTAGGTTCACAGTCTTTACCTAACATTACAGGGGTGTGACTTCGCAGCCGGAACCCCAATGCACTTACACCGAGAAAGAGCTCACAAAATGGTCAAATAAGTGCACGAAACTAGCTCTTAGAAACACTGACAGAACATGACTTGCCAGGCATTAAAAGAATGAGAAGACATTTCCATCGTCCAATATAATAATGACTTGTTAGCAAGACAACGAGTAACTGTCATCGAAATGTTATAAGCTCTTGAAATATTTGTTTTCGTCGTGATATTCCCCTTTGGAAAGAAAAAAGCCCACCGAAAGAAAGTGATCTGTCACAAAACATTACCGTGTCGCCTGGTTTTTGCTCGTCCTCCATCTTTTTCTTGGGTTTTTAGTAGAACACCCTCCCTCCGCCCACCCTATCCTGCCATGGAATGTGTTTTTCAATCTAATACGAATTCACCTGAAGTTTATAAGTGCTAACGTACAGTACAAACATTTACAGAATGGCTATGTACAAAAGCTACAAATCAAAAACGTCAAATAAAAACCCTGTCGGCTTAACTGTGTCTACTCTATATCTATTTGTGTAGGAAAATAAAAAAGAGGTGGTGAAAACGCTGTTGGCTTGTGCATGTGTCGCTTGCTTCCAGTAAAGGGAGAGTTGCATTGTTGCTGAAGAGGGGGTCATTGACACAGTAGTAAGATTTAAATGCTTCATGTCCACTCAAAAGTGGTCAGAAAGTTCCTCTCCCTCTCAGAGAAGTTACAACGCCACCTACTGGCACGATGCGGTCTGAAAACTGGACTGGCACAGCAAGCAAATAATAACCATTTTGTCATTTTTGTAATCATCTTGATAAGCTATGCAATGACATCTGTAGAAAAATAATAAATAAACACTTTATGGTACATCTGTTATATCTTGATTTTGTTTTTTGTCTTTTCTGTCTCAGTTTTTGAGTTTTCTTTTACCAAAATAATGCAGAATGAGCAAGCCATCTGCTGGTATCGGGCTTCATACCTTCTGACGATTAAAAAAAAAGAAGGAAAGAAAGAGAAAGAAAAAGAGAGAGAGAGAGAATTATTTTTTTTTTTACCAATTTTTTTTTTCATGCTTTAAGTCCTTGATAATGAGACCTTAAGAGACAGACACACATAAAAATGTGCTTTTTTTTTCACCCCAATAACCGACCCTCTACATAAGAATGATTCATGTATTAATACTAAAATGTGTTTGAAAAGAAAAATATATTCAAAAATTTTAATATGTGGTGGAAAAAAAGAACCAGCACAATCTCTTAAAAAAAAATGAAATACAATAAAATGAATCTTAATTTTGTTTTTTTGTCTTTTCTGTCTCAGTTTTTGAGTTTTCTTTTACCAAAATAATGCAGAATGAGCAAGCCATCTGCTGGTATCGGGCTTCATACCTTCTGACGATTAAAAAAAAAGAAGGAAAGAAAGAGAAAGAAAAAGAGAGAGAGAGAGAATGATTTTTTTTTTTACCAATTTTTTTTTTCATGCTTTAAGTCCTTGATAATGAGACCTTAAGAGACAGACACACATAAAAATGTGCTTTTTTTTCACCCCAATAACCGACCCTCTACATAAGAATGATTCATGTATTACTACTAAAATGTGTTTGAAAAGAAAAATATATTCAAAAATTGTAATATGTGGTGGAAAAAAAGAACCAGCACAATCTCTTAAAAAAAAATGAAATACAATAAAGTGAAAAAACTACAACACTACTGCTAGCACTAATAATAATAATAATAATAATAATAATAATGTTTGTGCGAGAGGTAATGGGTTGGCCATGGGGTTTGGTCATACGACACACCACCTGGACTGCACCAGTGCCAAAACTCCCTTCAACAGGAAGTGAAAGCACTGAGGGTCCTCTCGCCCTCACTGCTGCTTCCTGTCTTATGTGTAGGCATTGAGCCGTTCCTTGGAGCGTGTAGAGTGGATGTCATGCAGCTCCTGCTCCTCCTTGGACTTGCAGTCCTCGTATTTCTGCATTTTACATGCATCCTTCACATAGGCCCAGTTGGCAGACAGCACCATCAGGTAGTGGATCTGAAGCAACACCATATAATATTAAATAGCAGCAATAGAGAGTCAACTAAAATGTTGCACTTATATTATTCTGATACAATTGTTCTTATATAACACGCTTACACTTAGAAATCTTATAAAATTATTATTTTTTAAATATATATTTATCATTCAAATAACATTTTGGAATTGGATTATTTGACATGGCCATTTACATGTAATTTACATGGTCAGATTGAATTTACAGAAGAATTTACTATTGTTTTTACATTTTAATGCATATTTTTTTTATTTTGAATTAATATACTGTAATATGAATGAATTAATGTCAGTCTATTTTTTTTTTACAAAAGTTGTGTATGCACACACACACTGTAAAAAATGCTTCTTCGAAGCTGTAAAAAAATCAAAGATTATTGAAGTTCGTTTTACAAGAAAATACTGTTTCAGTCTTTACACTTAAAAGTTTCAAGTTTAATTCAATATGTTACTTGCCATTTCGTTCCAATTATTTGTGAAATTTACTAGCAATTTCTAAGTGAACTTTGATTTTACAACATTTTTTTTTCAGTGCACACACTATTGGTCACGACTTTGGAATATATATATGTGTGACCCTGAAAACCAGTCATAAGGGTCAATTTTTTGAAATCGAGATTTATACACCATCTGAAAGCTGAATAAATAAGCTTTCCATTGATATATGGTTTGTTAGGACATTATGTGGCCGAGATACAACTATTTGAAAATCTGGAATCTGAGGGTGCAAAAAAATCTAAATATTTGAAAAAATTGCCTTTAAAGTTGTCCAAATTAAGTTCTTAGCAATGCATATTACTAATCAAAAATTAAGTTTTGATATACTTACGGCAGCAATGTATTGTTGGCTACTGCTACAAATATACCCGTGCTACCTATAACTGGTTTTGTGGTCCAGGGTCACACACGCACACACACGCGCACACACACACACACACACACACACACATGTACTATGGACTATTTTAATATACACTCAAAATGCAATTTTCATAAATCATTCTATTATGCTGATTTGCTGCTCAATAAGTTATTCTCATCCTATTAATGTTGAAAAAGTTTCTTCTGCTCAATATTTTTGTAGATTAAAAATACTACTGTTTATTATCTTTTATTCTATATTTATGATAAAATAAATGCAGTCTTGAGCATAAGAGACTTCTTTCAAAAAACAAAATAAATCTTAATGTTTGTGTGTATATATACATTACAATTTTTGTTAATTAATTTAGAATAAGAAAGAAAGATCTGCAAGTTGACAGCAGACTGAGATGACGCATGTTTGTCACTCTAAGATTAGCAGTGACACCAGCAGGAGGCAGCATTGTAAAGCAGCCAGACTCCTCTCATACGTGCGCTGGCAGCCTGCCTTGCTTAGAAGGAAATTCTACAGTCTGCTTCAAATATGCACCAAAATACCTTGATGAAGGCCCTAGTTTCTATTATGCAACCTAGCAAAGATTTTACAAGTGTGAACAAAAACGATGAATAAAGGGTTATCTCACACCACATGAAATCAATGTGTGTGGAAGAATAAGCAGCTGTAGTCTTGATTTGATCTAAATTATATATAAAAAATAGGTTATGCGTGAATTATTGTACTGCATGAGAGCACACCATATATTGTTTACTTCAGTGCATCATTATGCAAATCAGATTGACATTATGCATGCTCATTTGAATAGGGCCACACCCTGATTTTCTCATCCTGACAAAAGAAAAGCTTGATTATTATTACCCTTCCCAGAGAGTGTGAGGACGCATTGTGTTTAACAATCAGTTAAATTTGCTCTTTCCACAGCAGAGGACAGAAAAGCTCTTTCTATAATTTGCTACATCATCCCAGACTAACAACCACATTCTCTTTTTCAGAAAATGGTTCCTCGCAAATTACTGAGTGCTGCTTGCTACAAGCTCTAGGGCCTTTCTTCTCCCAGTTTCCATGACAACTAAACGACATGCCCAGCATCTCTCCGTGTATGTGTGTGTGTGTGAGAGAGAGAGAGAGAGAGAGAGGAAGGAAAACGAAAACAGCCACAAAGATAAAAGGAGGATGTTAAATAACAACAAAGAAAAGCCAATAAGAGCGAGCTGACAACGCCCCCAATGCTCAAATTTTTTTTTTCTCCCAGAATGCCCTAGGAAAACTGACAGTGATTCATGACTTTATCCCATTCCAGTTTAGACTCACATAAAGGAGCTGAAGCAGGTGATGTCATTAATTCTGGCTGCATTATCATCACCCAACAAACAACACATTGTTGATGGCTTAAAAGAGGGAAATTCAAATTTGTTCACATCACAATTTGTATACTTTTTTTTTTTTTTACCAGTTAGGACTTTATAATATAATATAATATAATATAATATAATATAATATATAAAGTAATTCCCACAAAAAGATGGAGCAAGTTTAATATTATGTTAAACTAAGTGAGAGTTGCTTTTTATAGTATTTACATATTTTGGTATGATGCACACTTCACCATTAATGTAATCATAATTGCGGTATAGAGTGATTTAAATTTCACTTTATTTTACGTTTTACCTTGAGGTAGTACAAATTAACAACATTTAGCTGCATTACTAACTTAATTTTGTATTTGTTTGTTTAATGCATTTTTTAAACAGCACTGAACCCCATATGTGAAACCTCTTCTCTAAGATGCATTGTCTGAACTAAGTATAATTTTATTAGTCAAAACTCACCATAGCAATGACTGCTGCTCCAGCCCCAGCCAACGCACACACAAACAGGTGGAAAGTCATATCCAGCTTTCAGGAAAAAAATATTAGAGAGAGAAATGAGCCTTGGATTGCTTTTCACTGTGGAAATGATCTATACAATCATTTGAAATTGTTGGACTTTAGTGTACCTGTCTACTTCATACAGATGTTTACTCACCTCATTTGATTCACACATTTTGTAGAATTTTTCTGATCCTGCACATACAGTCTTCTCCTCACCAATGGGCACAACACCTAAAATAAATCGTTTTCTTATTCCTTAAGAACAATCTGTGTTTTTAGGGTATATGAGGCTATAGAAACTAATATTACACTTTTTAATATGTTGGGGAGTTACTAGTTACATGTAACAGCATAATGTAATTTAATTACAAAATAAATGTAACTGTAATCCATTACAGTTACTAAGAAAAAGGGTGCAGTTAAGTTACAGTTACTCATGAAAATGTTAACGATTACAAAGTGGGTTACATCGGAATATTTTTCGCAAGAAGCTAGGATATGTTGAATAATAGTGATAAATATGCATTCCAGTGCTGGAAATTTAAAAATAAAAAATCAGAGTTACTTAAAGTAAAAAGAGGTGCTAAAGTCGTATTTTATGGTGGCTGTGCTTTAAAATTAAATTATTATAATCTTAATTCAAGTGATGAAGGATGTCTGACAGTAATCAGTGTTGAGTCCTACTGTAAGGTTAACCATGCCTGGTTTATATATTTAAAAATGATAAACTGTTGGAAACATTCGTTAGAAATTTAGAAAAGAAATAAAAAAATAATTAAATGTAATCAGTTACATCACTTTAATAAAGTAACTGAAATAGTTACACTACTTATTACATTTTGAATAGGGTAACTTGTAATCTATAACCGATTACATTTCCAAAGTAACCTTCCCAACACGGTGGATAACTACCAGTAAGAAAGAACAAAATTACAGCAACAAAAACTAATTATCATTGAAACGTATTTCTTTGCACAGTTAACCACACCTAAACATCTGGGACTAAAACCCACAGATTGTAAAACATACCAAACTGGCGCGGGTCAAGACATAAACTTGCTCCCTCCAGAACAGTCGTGTTTTGGCAAATGGTCCAGATGTTGAAATACATGAAGACTGGCAAAGAGGTGAATGCTGTCACACCCAGCCAAGCCAACATGAAGATGTACGTCAGCATGATGAACTGAAGAAAAAGACAGTTTAAGACTAATATCCAAATGTCAAATCAAGCACTAAATTAGAAATTCATTGAGAATAAAACAGAATTAAATAAATAAAAGGCAAAATTCAATGTGTACTGTAATCTTTTATAGCCTATAAAACGGATGCCATATTTATGTGCTGCAGTTACTCTTAGTGGCTTTGCCGTTGCCCTTTTCTAAATCACAATGCATGAAGCTTCCCCAGTGATTTCTCACCCATGCACTGACGCAGCGTCCACAGGTGGTGATCTTGAAGTCTCCATACAGGTCCTTGATGGCGCCACTTGTAAAGAAGCCTTCGACCATCAGAAGAATGCCATACACGAAGAATGCAGAAGCAATGCCATAGATCACATACTTGATAATGTCAATGCTGTGGGAACGGAGGAAATCAAGACAATAATTATATGAGTCAGTATATATATATATTCATACATTTCTAAATTATTTAAATGCACTGCAAAAACAATTTTCGGTATCTTCTCTAGCTTTCCAGTAAAACATTTAAAAATCCTTAAAAAAAAGAATATATATATATACAGTGCTGCTTGAAAGTTTGTGAACCCTTTAGAATTGTCTATATTTCTGCATAAATATAACCCCAAAAATCATCAGATTTTCATGCAAGTCCTGAAAGTTGACAAAGAGAACCCAATCAAACAAATGAGATGAAAATATATACTTTGTCATTTATTTATTCAGGAAAATGATCCAAGAACAAGAGTTGATGTTCATCAGGCTAGGAAAGGTTTCAAAGCCACCTCTAAAGAGTTTGGACTCCACCAATCCACAGGCAGACAGTGGGGTAGTTACCCTACCCAGGAGTGCTCCACCAACAAAGAACACTCTAAAAGCAAGACGTGTAAAAGTCAGCTAGGTTTCAAAGGACTGCAGGCTAACTTCTAAGCAACTAAAAATATAGAAAATTCTAAAGTGTTCACAAACTTTCAAGCAGCACTGTACAGTATTTAAATTATTATTTAAATTATTAAAAAATAATAATTTAAATAATATTTAAAAATATTTTTAAATAATTTGGTTAAATTTAGGGGAGAATGAGGTAAGATGAGCCTGTGGTTACAACGAGCCACTCCTTCTATAGGTAATTACAAACAAAAGAATCATTTTCAGCATATTAAGGTAAATTAATTCACATTACTCAATCCATCTCAGACTCAAGCACACGGAGAGAATTATAAGAAAACTAGAGAGAAATTATCATGTCAATTGAAATCATCATATTGCTAAAGTTTTGCATATGAATTAATCTTTTAAATTTTTGGGGCATTATTACATGTTAATTTAAGTCAGTGTAAACTACAAAACATGGGCATTTAGTATAATTTAAATTTAGCCTACAGATAAAATCAACATGGCAATGCAGTACAAAAGAAATACAAATAGAAAGTTTAATCCAAACACGAATATATCCAAACATGTACATGCATATGTATATATATATACATTCACATACTTTTGCCGCTCACAGTTATCTAATATTGGATAAATTTCCTCTGTAGTTAATATATGCAAAGATCACAGATGAACCTTTTTTGTTTTTGAAAATATTCAGGTAAAAACAGGACTATGCGTTTTTATATTTGTAATGTACGGATGGAATGAAAAAGCTCACTATGATGTGTTTATATTAGTATTTAACCCATTCACATGCTCATTTTACTCCTACTTTGTGAATTGTAGGACTAACTCTTATAAAGGGTCATTGTTATAAAACCATAATAATTAGATAACTTGTATTAATTTACATGCATACACAACAACCTGATGTATATAGTAACTATTGGGGGGGACACTTTTATTTATTGTAAAAAGTGTCTGTTTTCTCATTCTCATATATGCTTAAAACATGAAAACACTGCCAGTGTCTTGCGATTTTATTTATTTAATTATTTAATTTTGTGCAAATTTGCTTCGCTAATAAATCTGTCTTGTTTTAAAAATGTTTAGATATTTTTGCTGCATACAAAACATTAAAAAAACACTATATACAAAATGTATATAATGTATATAATTATAAGTACTGTATATAATATTTATATATATGAAAATCTACAGTGAGAAACGGGTGGTTCAATATGCTGCAGACACTTACATTGTAAACACATCCAGACCATCTCCAGGTCCCCTGATAACCTCAAAGTAGTTCTGGAGGATGGTGACCGTTCCAGAAAGAGCTTCATGTCCACATCCACAGAAGAGCGCCACTCCAGCATACAGCAGGATGGTGGCAATCAGGGATGGATAAGGGATTCCTCCTAGACATTTCAGACAACACTCCATACATCCTGAGAGGAGGAAGAAAAAAGAGGTCATGTTTTTCATCTGAAAGCTACGGCTGGGGAAAAAAAAGATGCTTTTTAATCATCAAGATCTTGAAGATGTTTTGTGTGTCGGTGTTTGATCATATTTGGTTTTGTGGTTTAGGTATTTTTTTTGGGCATTTATTAAGTTTAATTTCCACAGTTTTCTGTCATTTAACAGAGCAGTATTCTTGCACAGAAAGCAAAGCTAGTGTAAGTAGTCTTCTGTGCTCTTCTTAGCGTCTAGCTGCCTGACAAGACTAACAAGTACCCAGACGGTTGGAAATAAATCCTCAGTCCATTCAGTCTGAGGGTCCAGTGAGGTCCAGTTGATTCTCCCTCTCTCTCTCTCTCTGTGTGTGTGTGTGTTTGTTACTCTCCAACGATGTGCAAAATTGTCCCTGCGGCAGACTATTTTAAATTCTCCTCTTGGCATCATATATCAGAGTGAATCATAACAGTATGATTCATGAATAACAAAATGGATAGTAGGATGCGAGGATGGAATTTGACACTTAGTCATTCCGATTAAGCTTTTCCAAATGATTGCTTTCATGTGTTTCATTCCAAAAGTTCATTACTTTAAGTTTAGATTTCACATCTCTGCAAAAGATGAGACAAGTGGATTATGTTTAGAAGAAAACAAACTTGCAGTTAAGTTTCTTGCATTTCATTATGTCTATTTAAGTGTGTGATACATTTTTAATAGCAACTTTGTACTCACTTATCTGTTAAAAATGTACTGTACGAAATGTTTTAATTTTATGATAAAAAAAAAAACGGAAGGCTGTAGTTTCCTTAAAGGAGACCTATTATGCCCCCTTTTACAATATGTAATATAAGTCTCTGGTGTCCCCAGAATGTCTGTGACGTTTCAAAATACCCCACAGATTATTTATAATATCATTTTGAAAATGCCTATTTTGAGTGGATGCAGAAATACGCTGTTTTTGTGCACGTCTCTTTAAATGCAAATGAGCTGCTGTTCCCCGCCCCCTTTTCCAGAATAGGGCTGTGCCTTTATAGCTCCTACCTCAGATACTCTGCCAAAAAACATATGTTTGGTTTTGATTATCATGTCTATCGCGCTGAAATCATACGTTTTAAACCATATTAGTTTAAACTTCTGATATACGGTTTTCTGAGCGCACACATCTAAAGCACGCACACAGTGCAATTTAGTGAGTACTAAATTAAGTTCTCTTTCATGTCGTATTGCACTTAAACTGTCAAATACACACAAGTTTATACGCACAAGCCAAAATCAAAGACATGCTTTTCTCGAACTTTTGCCAAGGCGTTAGAACTAGTAGTTGTCGCTTGTGAAAACACAATGGCGGCGATGTGGGTGGAAACTTTCAGATTAAGGGGCGGTAATATTATAATAAGATCTCCTTTCTACGTAACGGGGGGAGCGAAATCTGAGCAACTCATTTTTTTCACAAGCTTGCAGAAAAAGGTTTACCAAAAAAAATACTGGGCTGTTCTTTTTCACATTTTTGGGGTTGGTAGATGCACCGGGACCCGATTATAGCACTTGAACATGAAAAAAGATTTTCATGATATGTCACCTTTACATTGACTGTAAAAATACAGTGACAATATTTCAGCATTATGAGATGACAATAAAAAATAAAAACATAATTTTAGCCTTATTTTATAAATAGCCATATTTAACATTAATATAATATATATTTTATATTTCTGGATATATAAATAAAAAATAAAAACATAATTTTAGCCTTATTTTATAAATAGCCATATTTAACATTAATATAATATATATTTTATATTTCTGAATATATAATTACATTATTTAATAATTAACATTTTTTAACCAAAAAGTAATATTAAATCAATATATATATATATATATATACTGTATAAAATAAAAAAATGCACTATAATTACTATATTTTACAGTCAATTTACATGCATTTTTACATGCATGTATTTTTTAAAACATAATAGCATTTATACAGTTAGTTAATTAACTGTTTTTTTACAGTAGCATTTCTACATAATCGTTTCATACTGCATTTTCTGTAGTGTGGGAAGTTTGGCATTTGTACTTCCAGAGGAAGAATAAACTTTGATTTCAGCTCGCATATGTTCCCACTCAGTGTTTATTTGCCAGTCCTTATAAAACGAGTGCAGGAACTTGCATGATTTACACTGCGAAGAGTTACGAGCATGGTTTGATGGGGCTATTGCTCCCATTTCAGGCCTTTGAATGTGAATTATTGAATACTGTCAAACACTGCTATGGTAATAATGCTGTAATGAACCTCAGACCTGGCTATACAGTGGCTTTGGCAAGGGATCAACCTGTTGCCATAGCAACTGCTTTGGATTGCAAGGAGTAAGAATATAGACAGGGTCTGATTCTTTGTAGTACTTGATAGATCTATAGGTTTGCAATGTTCAGCATTTAAATATAAATAAACTATATATATATAGTTGTCTAAAAAATATTGTATTTTAAACATTTTATGTCATATAAAAAAAGTATTACTTAGATGTGTGTTCTTATAATTATAAATAATAAATGTTTATATTCCTGTCATTTTGCATAACAGTATTAGCATTTACACAATACTGCTTGCCCCTTTGATCCTGTTATGAGATTCTATGCACTGTTGAAACCACTGCATGACTCCTGGTTGGCTGAGAGTAATCACATGTTCTGAATCCACCGCAAATTGCATTACCTTACAATGCAGCCTTATATTCATCACTCAAGGGTGTTAAGACCATGAAATGGCATTAGAAATGAATGCAGCTCGCACACTTTGTTAATACAGGGCACTGAATCTTATTTACAATACAAATTCTCACAGGATAGCCTCGCTGGCAACTGTACCAATGCAACGCTCTGTTATGAAAGAAACCAAATTTCAGTCCAAGATACTAAACTAAACCATTCAATGATGGTTAGCCAGATTAATGGCTAATGTTCACCTGCCAACTACTGGTTCAAAAGACACAGCACATTTTTAGAGAAAACATGAACTCCTTTTGTTTTTTATAACAATACTAGCTAAGACTTTGCAAGTATTTTCTAATAAATATTATTCTGAATAGGTATATGCATCCAAATTAATGTATTAAATTCATATTTTTTTATTAGCATCCTTTATTATTGGATAAAATCTTCAGATCCACTGATATGCTTAATGTAACCATCACATACGCAGTTTAAGATTAAAAGTTTGAGGAGCCAGTCTGACATTTCATTAATTAATCTATTAAACAATTAAACTAAACTAAACTTTCCAGATGAATTTCGCATTAATGCATTCGGCCAAGTTGTTATTGGTTACTAAAACTTGATATAAAACTTATAAAAATTGTTTTCATTAACCCAAATTTTATTTTATTACACACACACATACACACACACACACACACACACACACACACAATTTTTAAACATTATTTATAGATAGACAGACAGACAGACAGACAGACAGACAGACAGATAGATAGATAGATAGATAGATAGATGTGTGTATGTATATGCGTATTTTTATGAAAACTTAAAGCTTAAACGTTTAAAAATTGTTTTCACATAACAAAAAGATTAAAACTCGCACTAAAATTAAAATGAAATAAAACAAAAAATAAAACCCAATTCTGAATTTTAATAATATATATTAACTATAATAATATATAAAATGACTAAAATAACACTGGCATTTGGCCAGTTATTGTTTTCAGATGTTAAACCACACAAAAGACAGGCTTAACCCTAACAACATAAACAAAAGCACTATCCCGGAGGGACCTCTATTAATAAAGCAATCGCTGCTCCCACCCTGTCGCCCCCACACCTCCCCCCATGTCCCTCAATCACCCCACCCAACCTCAACACCCATCTGTCAGTCTGACAGCCCCAGTGCCACTCCCGCCTCACCCCACCCCCAACCTCCAATTAATCCCTGGGACTGTGGGGTCACTGCGAACCAGTGGTCACCCTGATATCCAGACACGTTCAGAGGGGAAATGTTCTCACAGGCCTCTCAAAGATCGTGCAACAAAAGGCTGTAGTCGCTAACGCTAATCCGCACCACAGAAGGAAGAGAGAAAGGGAGAGTAAAGGGATAAGAGATTGCGAAAGTGGGAGTCAGAGAGACAGGCAGATGGAGAGGAAAACAGATGCAAGTGTTGGTTAACATGTAGTGAAAATTTTTTTATGAAAATACTTTTATACTCCCCATTCATAACCAGCTCAATCGGGCCCTCTTCGGCCTTTGTTTTAATAGAATTTGACGAATTCGTCAATTTAAAGTGATTAGCATTTCATTACCCCAAATGCCGATTTTTCTATCCAGATAAAAATAATTCAAATTCAGTTGAACTCAGTCACATCAAGTGGCTACATGAGGGGCGCTGTGTCTCGATCGCCGGCCCCTCCCTGAAAGCACGCGGTTTTCATCACCGCACGTCTACGCACCAAATCTGCGCATGTTTAATCAACCAGCAGGGTTGCCATGGTGATGGAGGTGCGGACCCTAAGAATGGGCCGGGCCTGTGCGCGCACCATGACCCACTTACAGCGCCGTGTGTCAACACATTCAGAGGCAAACGGGCTGAATGGGAGACACATTTACAAGGATTACAGGGGGGGAAACACAGTCCAGCATCCAACGCAGCAGGAACGGCCAAGACTACACGACTTCATCCAACCCCACTGCTGCTGCTGGGGCCGCTAGAAGATTCTCACACTTTCCTCCATACCTTCTCTCAGCAGAAAGGAACCCATTTAGTCTCCATGCACTCTTAAAAATAAAAGTTATTTATGGTGCCATGAAGAACCTTGAACATCCATGCACCCTTTCAAATGTAGATAAGGTTCTTTATACTCGAAAAAGGTTCTTTAGATTTTTAAAATGTGACCCTGGACCACAAAACCAGTGATAAGGGTCAAATTTTTTTTTTAAATTGAGATTTATACATCAGCTTAAAACTATAAGCTAAATAAATAAGCTTTCCATTGATGTATGGTTTGTTAGGATAGGACAATATTTGGCCGAGATACAACTATTTGAAAATCTGGAATTTGAGGATGCAAAAATCGCATTTAAAGCTGTCCAAATGAAGTCCTTATCAATGCATATTACTAATCAAAAATTACGTTTTCATATATTTACAGTAGGAAATTTACAAAACATCTTCATGGAACATGATCTTTACTTAATATCCTAATAATTTTTGGCATCAAAGAAAAATCGATAATTTTGACCCATACAATGTATTGTTGGCTATTTCTACAAATATACCTGTGCTACTTAAGACTGGTTTTGTGGTCCAGGGTCACAAATGTTCTTTAAAATGGTGCACTGAAAGGTTCTTTGGTGAACCAAAAATGGTTCTTCTATGGCATCACTGCAAAAACACCCTTTTGGAGCGTTTATTTTTAAGAGGGTAGTATGTTGTTTGTTTGTATCTGGATTATAAATACACCAATTGTGAAGAAAATGTCATACTTGTAAAATATTCTACACTGTAAAATATTTCCCAATGTACCATGATAATAAGGAATTTTTTGTATTGATTTTTCACAGGCCTCTTAGCCTTCGTATTGCATTGTGCTGTGATTTAGGGTTGAAGGAAATGTCTGTAAACTTAACGGAAAACTATCTAAAGAACCTGCTTCATGTTCCATTCTCTGTTCTCATGGTCATTTGGCCTGTTGAAAAGAATAGGGAGAACAATAGTGCACAGAATTCACTTTCTTTTAATAGCCATGATGCAGTTTTGAGGTCAATTATAGTGAAACTTCAGTGTCCCTGAGAGGTTTGACTGGAGTATGGGAACAATAGGAGTGTCCAGATTAGAGGGTTGCCTCTGGATCTCACAAGGTTGTGTATATGAAAAACAGGAAGGAAATGAGATTGCCAGATAACTTGAATCCCACGGAGGTATAGAATTCAATCAAGCTTTCATTTACATTTCAACATCGCAGTTTAAAACAATGTGGTGCTTCACATATCCATCACACCTCAGAGAAAGGATCAAGACTGAATGGAATATACAAACAAATTCTATTAATCCTAGCGTAATGCATCAGCCAATCACATTTCACATTTGATATTAATGAAACGGGTTTGTTACATGCTGAGCTGCTAAAAATAGTACAAGAGGCATAACAACATGCAATGGTGTGCATAAAAATCTCTTATAAGTGAGTGTGTTTACATGCACAGTAGAACAAAATATAGGTATACTATCAAAAATCAACTCAATACCATGCAAGAAAACTTTAACATAACATTGTAATATTGCCCGGTTTCTGTCAGGTTCTAATGTCAGAATGTAAACAGACATGCGCATTGAACTGGCAGGCAAAACACCTGTGAGGTAATGGGCAAAAATCTGTGTGCTAAATCGTGTATCAATATTTAGATTGTTACACACATGTAAATTCCCTCACACTGTATCATTCTATAACAGCACACAATGCTGCAAACTCACTTTATGAGTGTCTCTTATCAGAATCTTATCAGCAGATGATGTTACACAGTCAATAGGGACTGATAAGAGCCCATCTAACAGACTGAACTCTGTCTACAGTGTGTCACGGTGCGTGCGGGGAGATGAAGCGAGGACTCAATTGCAGGAGAAATGGTTATTTATTTTAATAATAAAAATGAAACAAAAACAAACTCAAACCACCCCGAAGGGGAAAAACAGACAGGCCTAAAGCTGCACACATGCAGACACGAAACACACACAATGAGAAATGACGGATCAGCACAGGATGACAGACACCAGGAGAATAAATAGGAACCAAACGAGGAGGCTAACGAGGGAGACACAGGTGGAGCAAGTTAAACTATAACGAGGTAACAAGATGGGAGGGGCAAGACAATAGACAGGAGAGAGCACATGGCAACAGACAAACACAACACAAGCCATGTGCTCACAGAACAGTCATCTGGTGGCCCTCCTGGGCACACCCGCTGAAGACTGTGACACAGTGGCGATGACAGAAATTTGCAGGAAAAAGCCATAAATAAAAGATGAGGAGTGGGATGTATCTGTGTGTGTTAACGTCCTAATGTCCTCTAATCCAATAATCATGAGAGGTAATGAAATGTCCATTCTCCCATGAGGCCGCTTAGTTCCCCACTCCATCTATTGTGCAGCGGTAGGGTCAGAACACCGGTCAATGCACGTCTGTGAATACTACAGCTGATTATGAGATTGATGGTTTTCTGTTGTGGGGTTAAGAAATATGTGTTGCAGTTATTGTAGCATTAGTAAGTATTATGTGTTAGGTCAAATGGCACTGAATTAGGGAATTTGGCATTATATCTTTTGTTTTGTTTTGTTTTGAATCAATTGTAAAGTATTCCTGTAGCTCAAACAGAATTGCATGGTGCTAACAATGCCAAGGTAATGGGTTCAACTTATAAAAAACAACTTATTAAAAAAAAAAAACTTATAAAAAAAGTGAACCTTAAATGCAAAGTTGCTTTGCACAAAAAGGTTGGCCAAATGCATAAATGTAGATGAAAAAATGTTGGTCACCTAAAATGTTTTTCTTAACAACAACAATAATAATAACATTAAAATATTTATGAATTTATAAACTAATTAACGTTCATCAGTCAAAGTTTTATTAAGTCTTGCTTTTTTTTGGCATCCCCAAATTCCAACAGATCAATTTGGAAATCTCACTCACATATGTACATATGAAAATATTAAAGAAAAAACATGTCAAATGAGACATACATCTTATACTAGACTTGCATTTTTATCAAGAAGTTCATCAGGTGCACTTTACAGACAATAAGCATTTCCTATATAAACAAAACAAACAAAACATCTAGCTATACGCAAAACAACTTAAAAATATAGAAAAAAATAATGAATTAATGTTTACAGATTTTATGCATTTGTGAATTTTTTATCAAATTATTAGATGTATCCAATCATGGCATATATTGGTTCAACAAATCAAATAAACAATAAATACAATAATAAAACACCAAAGCACCCCTGCAGGTTGAGCATAAATCAGTGATTCTCTCATATTTCATGTGTTAAATATCACACAAGCCCACTGACAGTCTAAGCACAGCAGACCTGACATGGCTGCTATCATCACACTGCTTTAGAAGGGAGGAGGGGAAAATCGCTGAAATATAAAGAGCCATCATAGATGGAGCAAAAGGACGAGGAAGAGAGAGTTCCGAAGGCTGGCATTTCGATTATTTTTATTCTCTTTCTTTCGGCTTCTCGCCATGCAGTCGTTTGCAAATATTTCTCTATAGACCACCAAAGCAAAAAGACATACAGTGATTTCCACCCTGAGCTCGAAACCTCAGCCCCTGCAAATGGTGGTATTATAAATAGCAAGCTCCCTCTCACACAAAGCAAACAAATGCTCCTGCACACAAATGAAAGACCAAGCCAAAAAATGAAAGAGGGGGAAACAATGGCTGAATTAGGATGATTATTTAAATGTCTACTGCATGCAGAAGATGGTTCTCCCGTCTGTCTCAGCCTCCCTCAGACAGACTGACAGAAATGCGCGGCAAACAAAGACAGACCCATCAGATTGTTCACACACACACACACACACGCTCACACGGGATCCATCCCCTGCACACACCCCTCTACAATCATTGTCCTATCGAAAATCTAACAATTTGTTTTTTTTAAATGTAAGCATCATATCTGCTAAACCATGCTATTTTCATATGTTTCAAAAACTAAAAAAATCATGCATTGCATCACAGTGTTTGCATGAAATACATCAACGGTGAATTCATTAAAAATTTGAATTGAAAATATGTCAGAATACACTTCTTCCCGCATGGAAAAAAATAAAAACATATATTCTGATAGTGTTAATAATCTCGTTTTATAATCCACAAGATCAGAGACAATGAAAAGCAGTGAGGGATTAGGCACAAAGGTAAACAACACACTCGGAAAGATGGATGGGAAAACAATGGAGAAAAAAGCATTCCATTACCCTTCTGGGTCTGTCCCTCATCCATGTCCTCCTCCATGTTGCCTTGTCCTCTGATTTCAGGGGTCTCTACAGCGGTGACCAGTGTTGCGCCTGTGGGTTTAAAGTCCGCTCCTTAAATGCCTTCCCTTGCCTGCTTACCACAATAGAGGCTGAGGCTGGCTCTCAATGCACAAGTCTCTCTCTCTCTCCCTGACTCTCTCTCTCTCTCTCTCTCTCTCTCTCTCTCTCTCTCTCACTCTCACTCCCTCCTCCCTCTCTTCACTCTCTCGCTCCTGCTACTACCCTGTTCCTCACAGAGGAGAGCTGCTGTCAACACCGATTTTTTTCAGTTGACTTCTCTTGTGTGAGGAGGTTGAGTGTGGCATCTCAGCGCAGGCTTGTGCAAACCAGTGAGTGTTAAGACATTCAGACCTCTATATATTTCTATATATCTGTTTATACAAGGTAACATAAGCTCAAGTGCGGGATACAAAAACAACAAATCCACAACCACCCAAAACATGGAGCACACTTGGTGAACAGAGAGAGGTGGGGTTTTAGGGGAGTCAAGCACCAAGCCAGTAAAAGCCTCCTCTTTACAGCCCTCCTCTAAAAGAATGGTTAATGCTGGTTACAGCTCTACTGCATTAAACTCAAGATTAAAAAAAAACCAAGAAATAATCAATTTGTGTTTTATCTGATAATTACCCTATATAAATGGTATAGTAAATATATAGTTGGTGCACTACCACAACATTCTCAACTTTATTTAGGAAGATAGGTCATATTTATACAAACATTGTCAGCCTGGACATCCAATCAAAGTACTGTATTAATGAGTTATATGTTACCTGATTATAAGGTTTAAGTAAGATGTGCATGTCTAGCTGTCTAGTTTCAGTTCCTTACTCGAAATAGCATCAGCAGAGTGTGTATGTGTAAAAGAGGAAGTATGAAGCATACCTGAGAGATAAAAGAACAGGGAGTGAAAGTTGAAATAATATTAACAAAGGCCAGAGCTTCACTCTGAAGATATATGGGGACAGAACCCTTGCAATATTAGCAAGCTTATTAACGATATGAGCAAAGTCATTTATCTAAACATGCATACATAAATGTAGCTTTTTTTGAATGTCTCATGTGTACATACGCAACTTCCCTTGGTACAACATTGCTAAAGCTCACTTTAATAGCATTTCTCATAATGTTGGCCAAGTGTTATAGGAAGACAAGTAGTTTTGCGATTAGTAGAGCTATCACTTGTCACAGCAAATTCGACACTCATTCTAGAGTCATCAGTGACACATAGAGTACTTCGTATGAATTCTATGCACTTTTTGACATTTGGTCTGGGCGTTTCATTGCATAATGTGACAGGTATCTCTACTACAGAATTGTTGCAAAAGTTTTCAGAAACACATACTATACTTGTAGTAATAAATCTAAGGGGTTGAAATATAATGATGACATCTTGAGTAGGTTTTTCTACTTTGCTGCTTCTGTGCACAACATGGATGAAATATGAATGCATGTGATGAATATAACATCATATGGTGCACTCACGTGATTCTTTATGTGCATGTGTGTGTGTGTGTGTGTGTGTGTGTGTCATTCCAGGGAGTGACAAAAGCATACAAGGCATAAAAAGCAGTTTCTTTTAAGTGAGCTTTACTCACTTAATCAGATTGTTTGTTACAACCTGCAATTTAGTACAGAAGTGCAATTAAAATTTCGATTAATAATGATTATTGGGTTCAGTTTTGAAAAATTAACAGAAAAACCTTCAACCTTTTTTCCAACCTTGTTTTTTTTTTCAATATTGGCCTCTGAATTATGAATTTAGTTAGAAATGGTCACACTTTATATTAAGTGACTTTAACTACTATGTACGTACATTTATTAATCATTTGGTACAATGCACATATTGTGTGCATACATGTTTTTACATTGTGCTTTTATTTTAAGAATACCTGCATGTAATTACACCTGTAATTACATTTATAGTTAGACTGTTGACCCATCCCTTACACCTTAACCCACTATTAAACCTACCCATACCACCAAACCTGTCCCTAACCTTACCTGTATCCCACCTCAATAGCAGCAAAAGTGTTTTGCAGTACAACATGAACACAATAAGTACATTGTACTTATTTTTTGATGCAAGTAGTTAAGGCCACTTAATATGTGGATAAGTGGGACCGAAATTAGAAATGACTTTTTAATGCTTTATCTATTTTTAGAGAAACATTTTAATTTTTATTGTATGATTTTAGCTAACTAGTCTACACCATCTACATAGTCTACGTCTTATTTGAATCTTCAACAAAAAAAACAGCTTTCATTTAGGGCTGATGCACACTATTGTAATGTGGTGTTTTGGGTTATGTTTCTTGTTCATGTTTTCATGTCTTTTATTTTGTAATGGTTTCATGGTCCCTGTTTGTGTCATGCTTCCCTTGCCCTCTTGTATTCTTGCCATTGGTTCTCTTGTTCATTGTGTCATGTTCTGATTGGTTGTCTTAGTCATGTGTCTTGTTTCCCATTGGTTTGTTCTTGTCATGTGACCCTCATTGTCTGCTATAAGTAGCCCTCATGTTGTCATTGTCTCTCGTCGTGTATTGATGTTGTAACTCAGCTGTTGGTGAGTCCTGTTCATGCCAAGTCAAGTCTGTTTTAGTTAAGTCTGTTCATGCCTCGTCAAGTCTGTTCTAGTCAAGTCTGTTCATGTCAAGTCAAGTCTCGGATTATTGTTTGGATGTTTGGATCACCTTTATAAATAAACTGCCCTTGGGTTCACACTTCAACTCGCCTTCAGTGGACTGAATTGATGTTGTAACTCTGCTGTTGGTGAGTCCTGTTCATGCCAAGTAAAGTCTGTTTTAGTTAAGTCTGTTCATGCCTCGTCAAGTCTGTTCATGTCAAGTCAAGTCTCGGATTATTGTTTGGATGTTTGGATCACCTTTATAAATAAACTGCTCTTTGGTTCACCCTTCAACTCGCCTTCAGTGGACTGAATCGTTACAACTATATGATTTTTCTGTCCTTTACAATTGCTGCTTGCCAGATTGTGCAGTATAACCGGTGAGACATCTACGACAGACTGTAATACCAAAGCCTTTAGATAAACCAAGATGGTGCACTCATTGTTGCTATAAATGAGAAAAAGTGCAACGCACAATATGGCGGAATAAGTCCAAACTTTTAAATGAAAGAACCAATCGCCAATTGGTAGTGTCACTGCAGCTGCTGTCAGAAGCTCAGGTTATAGAAACAGCCAGTGACCTGGGACATGCACGACTGGCTGGTTCAGCCTGAAATTATGCTATTTGAGCATAAAAACACATTTGTGTGACAGTTCAGGTCAGATTTTGTTGCTGATTTTAAAGTCCGCATGAATTCAGATTTGAAAGTATTGACTTTAGTGCACATTGCTAGTCTTGAGGTAGACAAATAATCCAAGTTAATCCACAGAAAAAAAAAAGCTTGTCTTGGTAATCTTTAATCAAAATTTGAACATTTGCTTTCACTCTGGAATGGCATTACTTCTGTGATGACATCAGTTTGGTGGCTCCGCCAATCCCCTTCAAACCAGTAGTTTGCTGTGAGCGAGAAATGGAGAGGAGGAACGCTAAAATAAAATCTGCCCTCTGTTTAATATGCCATTTCAGTTAGAAATATATCACAACACTGAAGTAAGTAGGTAGCGACTTCACACACTCATTAAATGTTATTTAAATGTGAGTGTGGCAACCCATTTTTGACATGTCAGTACATCCTAATTCAAGCAGACTTTGTCTTGGATGCCCAAAATAGCTGCCTGTAGGCATTGCAAATATGGCCGCTCGAGTGAACTACAAGGTATCCAAGACTTTGTCAGACTTACAGTGTTTTGATATTTTACATCGTGAGTTGTACTACAACCATTGCTACAAGGTTAACTATTCAATAAGCTGACTGTATGTGATAATGTCTGCCAATTTTGTCCATGATTATTAAAAAGAAATACAGAATATAGAAATATAAAGTATGTTTGTCTACAATGAGTATCCATATCAATTGCCCGCTTATAAAGCTCATCTCCACCATCAATGTATGAATTATTAAACACTAGACAATGTATTTAAACAGCTTTTTTAAAGGGGTCATGAATTGAGAAACCAAATTCTGGTTTACATATTGTAAGTTTCAGAGCTCAAAACTCTAGTCCAAAAACAGCTTTTATTGAAAACAAGCTGCCAGAACGACTCTTTTTCTACTTCTGGGTTTTTATTACATAAGACATTTTATTCTTTGGTAAACCGGTCACAATTCGATGCAGTCTTTGCAAACAGACTTTTACGAAAAGATACAGATGGACTGACAGTAATGCCACAACTTGTAAGTAATCATGTTAATTCTAATGCTAATATGTAATGACTCCTGTACAGTCAGAGTTCTTTATCGCAAAATGATTTATGGCTGTTTATGTGTCAGTGAATCAAGCCAGTGACTGAACAGTCAACTTCTCACTCTTCCTCTTAGCAGCATGGAAATCAAAAATGTTGTAAAAGTCTTTTTAAATGTTCAACTTGTACAGTACTACTTTCATGTAAATGTGTTAAACAATTAATAGCAGTGGGCATTTACACTTTAGTCTTAAAGAAGAAATGCCCATTTAATCAGTTTTCAAATCAGAGGACTAAACAGAAAATCTAATATATAAATTCTAATAGAGCAATGCCAGGGAATCATTATGGATATTTACCAGCAATCTAAAAATGACTATATTTGTGTTGCAATGTAGTTTAACAGATACTTGAGTTTTTACTGGCCCCATTACTTCAAAAATTGCTGACACTTTGAAAGATACATCAACATGTCCTGGCCAAAATGCTGACAGATTTTCTTTCTACCAGGAGTTTTAAGTTCTAAAATTATTGTGAAGGCCTACCTGCTTTCTTATTTAGAATCCAAGAATAGCATCTAGTTGCTACTGAAAGTGTGTTAGGGGCCACTCACACAGGACACATTCTGTATGAACGGCCCCTAACTCTACCCCCCAAATGACTACATGTCCTCTGACAATAACAATTTGTCTGATGTGTTGATATACTGCCATGCCATGTTTAAAATTCCTGCGCTGAGTAAGGCTCTATTTCAGGAATAGCATCACTGCAGACATATAACACCAAATGCAGACTAACATTTGA